TGAAAGAGGAATTCAGAAGTGTTATGTTGTGCAGAAGTAGTCTTCATATAGGACGGATTGCACCAGAGCTGGAAAGTATGTTGGCCATGAAGGCAAGGCATTTAAATATCTTTCCCCTTTATCATGTGTCCGTGTTCAGGGCATGCTCTCAAAAACTGGAAAGGGAGAACTATAATTTAGAGTAAAGTAATTGGAATTATTCAGATAGTAAAAATAAATTAACACATCATGGATCATGTTTCTAAAATCCTCTATACTCAGTCTTGTTAAAAGTTTAAATATGAAAGAAATTAAGTATGAAGGGAAGGGCTGGGGGTGTAGCTCAGTGGCACTGCATCTGTCGGGCAAATGCAAGTTCCTGAGTTCGATCCCCAGTACTGGAAAAAAATATGATGGGGAGTAAATAATAAATATGTATAACATTTCCAGCCATTCATTGCATTTGGAAGATGACACTCGACTTAACATGTTTGATGATGGAACACTCATGATCCGGAACACCAGAGAGTCAGACCAAGGTATCTACCACTGCATGGCCAGAAACTCTGCAGGCGAAGCCGAGACTCAAAATGCAACTCTCAGACACTCCAGTGCTCCAGGCGAGTCTTTTAAAAAATTTTCTGGTTGAACTTAATATAAATAGATGAGTTATCTGTCAGTTATTTACAATAGAAAATGACCTTATATTGCTGCTCTAAAGCATGCAAATTGCCAAGTGAAATAATTGCTACTGATTGAGGTTTGTCTTGAGCTGCTTTAGGGAAAATAGAATTAATATTTTTCCTTTTGAAATTTATTCTGTTTATTGAAAATATAGACATTTTGTCTTAGTTGTTTTCTTGTCACTGTGACGCATTATCCAACACCTGCAATTTAAAGGACAAAAGGTTTATTTTGGCTTATAGTTCATAGAGGTTTCAGTTCATAGTTGGCATAGCAGCATGGCAGAGGGACATCGCAGAGTAAAAAGAGTTCATGAGATGGCGATGGGGAGTAGAGAGTGGCTAAGGGAAGAGGGAGGGAGAGACACCTTTCCAGGCTACATCCCTAGTCCTCCTCCAACCAGGCTTCTCCTTCCTATACTACATCGGCTATAAACTAATCAGTGGACTAATCCACTTTGAGTATCACACACCACGATCCTATCACCCCCAAAAGACCCACCTATAAGCACTTGAGGGTTTGGGAGACATCACACACACCATAAACCATAACACACACACATTTTTGGCAGTGCTGAGGATTGAACTTAGGGCTTCATGCATGATATGAAAGCACTTTCTCACTGACTTACACTTTCAACCCCTTAATTTCCTGCATTTCTTCTACTTTTTTTAGTACACTACAGATATGACTCCATGACTCCAAGACTTTGCTATTCTCCTTTTGATTGCACATGTAGCTTTCCAGGATTGAGGCACAGTGAACCTGTTGCACTCAGGCAGCAATATCATCCTCTTCAGAAATTCAGTTCATCTGTCATTCATCATCCTTCATTATAAATATGTATTCAATGCCCACTGAGCTAATGTTAAGGATTATACATCCCTTTGCCTCTCCAGAAGCTTTGCCGTAATTTCAATGACTTATGTAAGCAAATTATGGTAACTGGGACAAATTTTTATTAATATCATTTCAAGATTTAGAAATATATTATCTCTCGCCTCTGAGACTATCATCTATTAGGCAATAGCCATAATTCAATAAAGTGATCACTTTTGTGATGTGTTAGGAGAGCAGTTGGAAGCACAAAGTATGGTTTTGTGCTAGTAAATGTTCCAATGCTGGCTCTGAGGTGGAGAGACCCTTGATTTGCAGCACTTGTCAGTTTCTGTAAACCTAATAATCCCCTAGTTTCTGATTTCCAGTGTGGCATCACTGAATGTGGAGTTGAGACGAGATATGCAGGAGCTCACCACGATGCAGCCTTGCTACCATGAAGACATAAAAGACACAATAACTTCAGACTCATAGATCATAGTAAAATGCAGTAAAATAACTGTAATGAATTTTAGAATGTAGCTTTGATACTTTTGAGATTTATTTAATTTTAAGATTATGTAATTTAACTTTTAAAAATGACTGCCTAACAGTCAACTTGCAGAATACTAAAAATTTGACAACTGGTTGTTAAAAATTAGCTCCAGCATATCACTTGGGTCTTGAGAAAGAAAAAGTGGCCACAGAGGATAGATCCGAGGTTATTGGTCAGTGTTAATAATATCAATAGAGATAACAAACAAGATGAAGCAGGGGAGGAAACCTAGGAGCAGATTTAGAGAGTCACATTCAATTGAGAAAGGTTTGTCCAGAAACAGGGACATCTAAGCTAAAAGGGAGGACAAATAAGAGAAAGAAAGATAAGTAGAGCCACCACATTATTTTAGTAGAAAGGATGGCCTAAAGGGAGACAGAGAAGGTAACTTGCAAGAGATGAGAAAGTTGGGGGTTACCGAGGGATAGCTGGAGTCTCACTGATTTGGGGAGGCATGAAGTATGTTGGATCATTCAGACTTGAAGACTGACATGTTAAGAGTGATCAAAGTTAGACTGTTTTTCTTCTAGTAAGATATCTCTGACAGTGGTTCACAGAACAAACAGGAGGACTCAGTATGGTGAGGCAGTTATCTAGCTACTGCTGTGATGCAGAGGAGAGGTGGGCATGGCACACAAAGGTCAGTTGTAAAGCCAGTGGGCGAAATGCATTGAATCAAGATTTGCTCCAGCAGGAGAAAGCGTCTGCATTGGAGACAGACCAACTATAGGAATTTCCTTCATAGTTTACAAATAATCTTTTATTAGTGGTATATGTTTGTGATACATAATAATTACATTCATTTTGAGAAACTAGTGGATATACATACCACATCTTGATAATTTTTACTTTTCTTCTATGCCTTCCCATATCACTTTCCCATCTCTACAAAGTCTAGCTCTCTGTTTTCCATCATCTATCTTTTATTTTGCTCTTTAAATGATTTATATTTTGAGTTTCTCATTTAAGAGAAAACATGCAATAGTTAATCTGTGTCTGATTTATTTCAGTATTATCTCAAAGTTCATCAAATTTTTAAACAAATGACTCAAATTTACCCTTCTTATGGCTGAGTAGTACTTCTCATGGCGGTGTATATATACCACCTTTTTTTACCCATTCATGTGTTGATAGGCCTATAGGCTCCTTCTAGCATTTAGCTATTATGATTTGTGCATGTATCACTGTAATGTGATGTCTTTAACGGGAGTGGTATAACTGAGTCAAATATAATTCCTATTTTTCTAGTTTTTTTGAGGCATCTCCATACTGATTTTCACAGTCCTTGCAGTAGTTTGCTTTACACCTACAATGTGGGAGGGTTCTAATGGGTAGGTTCAGGAGCTCCTTCCAAAGCTTCCACCATTTCCACCTCTCAGCGAGTCTGAGGGTGCAGACAGATCATTCCACTGGACTTCCAGGACCCCATTTCCTTTTCCTCCTTGTCCAAGTTCCTCAGCCTTGTTTCTCATTCTTTTCTGCCTGCTTTGAACCACTCAAAGTCCATCACTCTTCTCTCTTCCTTTAATCACATTTTTTCCCTCCTCCACTGAGCTCTTCTTGAATTTTCATTCAATTCCAAAACATTTAACTTTATTAACTGATGTAAAGTTCATAATTTGTATTGTTCATGTCATTCCTGAGATTTAGAATAACATCATTTTTGATCCCTTAAATAAGATATTATTCATCTTTACATCCCTCAAGTGTGGTTTCCCATTCAAACCACCTTCATTCTGTGTTTACTATCTAAGCTAAGGTTATTAATATCTCTCAGAAGCCTTAGATCCATCCTATACTGCTACCTTTTCTTCCTCAAGTCCCTAAAAATTTCTTCTGGATATGTGTCAGATTATCTGCCTCTCCATGTCCACTGTCAGTCTTACTTCAAAAACATTTCTTGTTTCTATTATAATAGTTTTGCCTGTGCTGTCCTTTGTCTTCTGGCAGCTTCTTCTACAGGAATTTATACCTAACTCTCATAAAACTATTTTCCAGGTGAACCATAATTTTATAGACTAGACGTTTTGTCCTCTGACCATGAACACACACGGAAAGGAATATATATTGTCTGACTATATGTTTCTAATTCTTAAAATTTTTCTAATACACCTAAGGCATTCATTTTATTAGAAACTGAATTAAACCTTCATTGTTGAATTAGAGTGGGCCAAGGTATTCCAACTTTTCAGAATATGTTCCCCTCAGAAGCCAAACTTAGATTTCATCATTAGCATTTCTAGAACTTTAGTAAGCCTTCAATTTCCATTAAAGATGGAACTCTCCTGAATAAGTAAGAGTGGAATCCTTTATATGGAATTCCAAGATTTCTACTCCCTTGATGAATCAATTTTTAATACATTCAAGCTGAAAGTAGCTGAAAACTTGACTATACATGCCCGAACACACTGTGTGTCTTTCTGCGTGTGTGTATGTTTTAATTGTATTCAGGGGTAGTCTGTACAGAGCTGACACACTGCCCCAGTAAGCCAGTGATATTTTTCTTCTGTTCTTCAATCCTTTGCACATAGGCTTCTTTTCTCCCTTGTAATTGTCACTTCTTATTTGAAAGGTTACTCCTGTAACCAAAGCTCATGCCTGAATCCCAGGTAGGAAGCAGGAAAGAAAGCAATGACTAGTTAGACTTAGACCTATTACTTGGGAGAGAAAAATCTCTTTCCAGTGATGTGTGCCTCTATTTCAATGGCAGAACTGTTTTAACAATCGATACACTTAGATATTTAGCCCTTAGAGTAAGGAATAGATATTGGGTGAGAATATTGCAATGCCCACAACACAATAACATTGACAAGAGATCTTTTAAAAAGATACAGGCATTTATATTAAATCCACATTTAATTTATTTTAGATTTAATTCCTTCAAAATTTAATGTGTGTATATAACATTTTAGAGTAAAGGCACTTTGAAAATGACAATAGTCTTAAAAATCACAATGCAAAATAGATAATCCTTCCTGACTACCACTGGCTGTTACTTGGTTTTGTTCCTCTTTTACTGTTAGCCAGACCCAGCTTTGTAATACAGCCCCAGGACACAGAGGTTTTAATCAGCACCAGCACAACTCTGGGATGCATAGCCACAGGCCACCCCCACCCTCGCATTACCTGGACCAGGATCAGTGGAGAGGCCCTGGACGGATCCAGGCAGGTGGTGATTTCCGGTGGACTTTATATACAGAACATCACCCTGGAGGATCGTGGTGGATTTACCTGTCATGCCGGCAATAGCCACGGCTCTGTTCAAGCCACAGCAAACATAATTGTACAAGGTATGAAAGCAGAGGTCATGATTGAAACACTTCTCCTGCCACACTCAGCAAATGATTTTTCAAGTTAAAAAGTAATGTCACGTACGTCATGGGAGAGATATTTTCATTTGCCGTGTATTTTTGGACATAATAGAATTTTCAAGACTAATCTGCTTCAACATAAAGTTGAATTTTTTTCCACTTCAATGTTTACCCAAATACCAGAACTAATCATTAGTAATAAAAGATGAAGTCATTAATCTGGCAACAAACTGTCGAAAGATATTTGTGTTTCAGAATATTTTACAGATAAAGGGAAAACAGTCTAGCTATGACAGTGGAAAGATGTGGCCTGAGTTCATAATCATTAACCAAGGTGTCCAGTCTGCATGGCTTGAGCATATGCTGAGGGCATTTTGGAGGTAGCAACCACCATCATACACTGTTCGACACCCAGAAAATAGTACAGCAGTGGGTATGCAATTACATTATAAAGAAGATATGCTCTTCTGCTGTAATTTGTTCTTAGTTTAGGACCACCTTCTACTTTCTGTTTTTGCTAGTGTATTTGTGTGTGTGTTTGTGTGTGTGTATGTACTCTATCCTCCTCTAGGTTTAAAGTTGGTATGAACAGCAGAATATACGCAAATGTCATTGTGTGAGGCCATGAGTCCTATTCTATCCATGGCAGGATTTTTTTTTGGTATTAAATTCTTTTATTGGTACATTGTAGGTATACAACACAATTACATTTCTCATTGGGAATTGTACCTTTACAT